AAGGATGTTGGCCACGCCCCCACACACACCCTGTGTGAGTTTAAGCCACCGGGTCCAAGACTCAAACGGCGATCGACTACATGGGAGTCCAGCGACATAGCCATTACGCTAACTGCTGGTCCCAGATCATGGCTTCCTTTGAATGCCACTCTGGGAAATGACTTGCAATCAGTTGTAACAAAATGTTTATTTAATTAAATCCAGAAAATATTTATTGAGCAAATTCCAAGAATTCTGAGCCTATAATAAATCAAACAGGTGTTGGTGGGCTGAAATTGACTTTTTTGAAGCAGAGCTTATTTTTCCCCCTCAGATAATGCTAATTAATGGTATAAAAAAAGATGTCACATGAACTTCTTTAAAAATTTACCTTTTTAAACAACTTTACTGAGGTCTAATTTACATACTATGAAATGCATCCAGTTTAAAAGTGAATTTCAATAATTTTTAGTAGATGTACTAAGATGTGCAATTTTCATCATAATCCAGTTCTAGGATATTCTAATACTCCTATCAGGTTCCTATGCCCACTTACAGTTAATCCTTGTTCCCTTCCCAACTTCATAAAACCTCTCATCAACTTTCTGGAAAAAAAAAGACATTTTAAGGACTGGTCAGTCAGGTACACAATTGATGCAGAGTGTGCAATTCTTTTTGGACATTTAATAAAGAAGTCCAGTAAGAATCTCTAGATGCCAATGCCTGGCTAGCTCATTCTCAGTTACTGTATGTACCTGAAAATAGTATTTTAAAATCTACTTTTCTTTAAAAATTCTCTGTCCTAACTGAAATATCAATATTAGTATATAAGAATAAATATGTATGTATGGTACATTTATTTCAGCATACTTACTGCTTCATTTGTTATAGGGGCAGAAATTAAAGACACACAAAAGAATCCTCCATCATAGTACATCAATACTACAGACTGCAATGCAGCTATTAACAAGAATGTGATAGAGCTACATGAACGGCCTTGAAAAGAGTCCATATATGTCCATATGGCTAAACAGGAAAGCAATGCAACGAAATGTATGTATAGTATGATCCAATTTTGGTAAGAAAAAATCACAGATGTATATATGTTTGCATGTTTCTGTAACCATAAAGAATGCACAGAAGGATGCACCTCTAACTCTTAACACTTTCTATTTGAAGGGGGAGGGTGACGGGGAGCAGGAGGTGAAGAAAAAACTTTGTACATTGTTGTGAGGGAATACTGTTTTGCTGTTTGAAAAGAAAAACTCCATATATTTTATCTTTAACATTTTTAATTACATTTCCCTTAACTCATATTAACTACCTTATCCTTGCCTCCTCACCATAAATCTAAATTCATATGGTTTTTCCAAACATGTAGACTAAAAATCTTAAATGGATTCTTCAGATCTCTGGGTTAAACTTAAGAAGTTTCAAAATTGGATTTCATATCCACTACTGCTAGTATAAAGAGATGAAGACTTGACCACACAAGTCTGTCATGTAGCAGGAGTCTCATGATAATGAAGATGAAGCCTTTCCTGGTTCTCAAAGCTATTGCAACTGAATGGAACAGTGTAAAATCTGAGGCTCCTGGAGGTGAAGTTATGTAGTCTGACAGCACTTGTCTCAATATCCATTGTAGTCTAATTAAATAAGACAGAAAACTTACCAGAAAAGCAACAAGAAAGGATTTTCCCAAAGAGAAAACATTTTCAGTATCACAAAATGAAGTGATATCTATATGCATATATGAAAAATACATATTTTTGTGATAAACTTCCTATAATAAGTACCTAAGTTTTGCTCACTAAGCTGTTTTGTTCTCCAGGCCAGGATAACATGGGAGTATCAAGATCCATTCCTGGTCCAACCTAAAAGCTGGGCATGGTAGCCTATGCCTGTAATCTCAGCAACCTGGAGAGGCAGAGGCAAGAGGGTTGCAAGCTTCAGGCTGGCCTGGGGAACATAATGAGACCATGTTTGAAAAACAAGACAGGCAATAGGGTCAGCCAGTGGTGGTGGCATGGTAGTTAAGGTGGTTGGATCCCACATGGCTGACTGACTGACTGGTTCAAGTCCCAGACCCATTAGGCATGTGTGTGTGTGTGTGTATGTGTGTCCAAAACTCTGAGAGCCTAAGAAGAGAATGGAGGAGAAAACGCAGCATGGCAATCCCCCTTGGAAGGTGATTTCTCTCTCTCCCTCCCCCTGGTAAGAACATGCAGTCTATAGCTAAAACTAAAAAAAAAGTAGGCATGGAGGCCTATAGCTGTAGTCCTAGCTGAGAGACTGAGGCATAGAGGACCATGCCATAGTGAGGCCCTACCTTGAAAGAAAGGAAGAAAGAAAGAAAGAAAGAAGAAAGGTTATTAGAGGTATATTTTGGAAGGTATTTGCTTAAACTATCCAAACGATACTTGAAAGCCCACCAAGGTACAGTGAGTGTTTCTGTCCCCCACCCACCCGACAGGCAAGTTTTTTTTTTTCCTTTTATATAGTTTTGTTATTCTTGCTGATTGCATCATTATTCTGTTTAAAATAAATATTTTAATTTAGGTATTATATCCAGAAAGCCACACAAATGATCGGGTACAGTTCAGCTAATTATTGCAAATGGAACACTCATACAATGACCATAGATCAAGAAATAGAACCTTTCATCATTACTCCTAAAAGAAAGTCAGTCTTTAATTCCAGGGAAGAAAGTCTAAATTGCCAACTATGTGTGATACATTCAGGCAGTTACTCCATCCTTTGGGGTTTAGACTGGGCTGTCTGGGTAAAATTTAAATACGAGTGAATGAGCAAATGTAAATAGGACTCCACAGAATCTACAGACAAAACATCCCTTGGAAAAATGTGTTACGCTCCATCTACACAGCTTGCCATTTTTTCCGTTGTGTCACAGGAGCCATTGTCAGGACCAGTGACGTGTCCACATTTGAGTCACAGAGTTGAAGTCAAACCCTTGACTCATCTCTGGGTTCATTTTTACCCTTAAGTTTCCTTTGTCACCAAGGTGTAGTGTAATGAAATTCATATGACCCGGCAAACTGAACAATGAGCCTTACTGTTCAAAGAAGGTAAAACAGACGATTAATTTGTCAGCACAAAGTGAAGGCTTAGAAGGCTGAAATATCAATCTCTTTTTCAGTCTATTATTCTCTCTTTGCATAAAAGGTTGCTTAGGAATCACATTCGGGTTAGATATGCAGAAGTTCAAAAGTGAGCAGACCTTGTGCTATGTTCCCTAGACCTGGCAGGAATTATCTTCAAAGAACAGGTCTGGGAAAAGATTAATGCCCAAGGTTTCCACCCGAAGTAGATCATCTTTGGTCTTGCACACACCAGACACACAGCTCTTTGCTCACTTGCTCAGAATCGACAAGATAATCAGGATCAATCCCATGAAAGGAGAGTGCTCAAGAGCTATGGCCTATCAAGTGATTGCTGCTTAGAGCAAACGGTAGTTTCAGCTGTGCCAAATCTTCTAAAAGCCCAGGATAGCTCTTGGGTTCTTCTGGAGCTCTTTTCTTCTCAACAAACAGATGACCATAAAGGACTCAGCTTGCTGTGTATGAATTAGCCCAAATAACTCCGGTCCCTTGTTTTTGAGTTCCTTGCTTGCCTCATTCTAGAAGCCACAAATGGTGGCTTTCAAGTTACTTCTGACGACTGGAAAGTCAGGCAATCCAGAACCTCTGTCCAGAAATTGAGTCAAATTCAAAAAGAGGCATTTTGAGAGTAAATTTTCAGGGGAGAAATTAGGCGAGGGTCTTTAAATTGATTCTGTCATTTCCTGTTTGGGGACAAATCTTGTAACTTGGTGGATAAATGCTATTTATGATAAAAATACTTCATTTAGAAATGTACAGTTGTTTAGTATTCCAAATAAATAACATGCACTGCATTCATACACAACCAGGAAGTCAGCAATTTAGTTTTAGCTTTCGTCTCTGCCTAACTGCAAAAAGCTGGCATAAAAGGTAACTTAAAACAATTATTAAGGGTGGTTTTCAGAGCTGGTACACACATATAACCACAAAATGTCTGGCACAGATCCTTCTGCTTAAGCTCATAAGATTTCCTAAAGAGGAGAATAAACAAGACCCTTGCTGTTTCACTGATGCTGGTAAAGATTTGGGATTAAAATGGTCATAAACAAGATTTTTTAGTGGTAGAAAATTCAACAGCAATTTAACCTTAAAGTCCTTATGTTGTGAGAAGATAAATAATTTTGATTCTTCTTTGACAGAAACCTTTCATAATTTATGGAACATGAAATATAAAATCCATTTGTTTTCTTTTCCTGGTCAATTCTGGCAAACAAATGCATTATTTGAAGAAGAAATTTTTATTTTATCAACCTGAGAGTTTGTTATAGTCATCTTTTCAAAAATAATTTAGAAGAGACCACCAGCGTTACATCCTAGAGCAGTGATTCTCAACCAGGAGTGCATTTGCCCCCATGAAAGTATTTGTCAATGTCTGGAGACATTTTTAGTTGGCACAACTGAGTTGGGGAGACACTACTACCATCTAGTAGGTGGAGGCCAGGAATGTACCAAACACCCTACAATGCACAGAATAGCCCCAGACAACAAAAAACTATTGGCTGAAAATGTCAGAACTGCTGAGGGTAAGAAGCCCTGTCTTACAGCATGGAGATGCAGGATGATCTGTGGGAGCAGAAACTGGGATCACTTCAATCATATGCACAAGATCTTCAAACCAGTTAACACAGTTCAATAACATTTACCATGTAAATACCCTAACGAGAGGTTGGTAACTGCAGAGAGAAGGATGAGAAGACGAGTATTCCTCAAGTCAAATAATGAGTTCAAAGACACAAAATTGGTTGCATTTGCCCTGCTATATGACCTTGATCTTTGGGGAAAATTTTAAAAGAAGGAAGGAAGGAACCTTCTGGCTCCCATAGCATAAAAGAATAGAGCCATGGCCAGGTAATTATGTTACCCCACTCAAAGTAAAGTGAATTTTTGCTGGGACCAGTGGTTGGTGTAATGGTTATGTCGCTGGACATGTAGTCAACTGCGGTTCGAGTCCTGGACCGGTGGCTTAAACTCATGCTAGGTGCATGTGCGTGCGTGCCCAAGATCCTGAGAAGAGAATGGAGAAGAAGGAATTGGGGCATGGCCGTCCCACATTGGGGGGGAGGGGGTGTGACTTCTCGCTTTCTGTCTCTTTGTCTCTCTCTGTCTTTCTGGTGAGTGCATGCGCCCTATAGCAAAAAAATTCTCCAAAAAAAAAAAAAAAAGTAAATTTGGGGCTCATTTTAGATGACTCCTTGTCCACATGAAGGTACTACACACATTCAGACTGATGTCACCGATGGCAGTGGGACCTGAGGCTGAACTCTATTTTGTGTTTTTGTTTTGTGTTTAAGTTTCTGCCATAGGGTATATGCCCTCACCAGAGAGAGACAGAGAAAAAAAAAAAAAAAAAAAAAGGTGAGAAACCGTCCCCCAGGAGCAATGGCTATGCTGCAATCCCCTCTCCTGTTTTCCTCCTGGGATTTTGGGCGCGCGCGCGCGCACACACACACACATACACACACACACACACACACACACGTGTCTGTTGTGATTTTCAAGCTGCCAGGTCAGGGACTGGAATCACTGTCAGCCATGTGGAAGTCCAGAGCCTTAACTAACACGCCACCTACTGGCCCCTCTATTTTGTGTTTTAATGGTGTCACTGACACAAAGCAGTCTAGACGAGGTCAAGGTAAGACTGATCCACCTAGAAAAAAGAGTCACTATCTGATTTCTATGCAGTGAATACTTATACCTACAGATGGCATTCTTCAGAAATGAGAAAATTCTAAAGAGCTATTAGGAGAAACTAATGGCAGGTTTGTGAGAAAGGAGAAATGGAAGTGAAAGAACGTTACACAATGAAGACACAAATGCAACAGATATGTAAGGGCTCTGCTGCACCACAACTGCAGGAGGCAGAGCCTGGGTCTAAGCAAAATACCCTCATCTGCAGGACCCCCCTAGTGGATGATAGGCAAACGACTACCTGAT